TTTTTATAGAGAAAGGGATTAGAAATGTAAAATGTAGTCTCTTGTTTTAAATGAATCTGAATTCATGTATAAAATGCAACTTTGTAGACTATTAACATGCAACTGCTGCATCATACATGCAAAAAAGTCCATCTTGTGGACCGTGGGCTTCAACCAAATAAAGCTGATCAGCTAGAAAAACAAGCTTTGGGATCCAGTTTCACAACCTCGTCATAGACAACTTGTAGTTACAAAATCGTGTGTACATACAACCACTGGTTTGATTAATCCGATCCGATTTTTTTAAATTAAAATTAAAAGCCCTCTGACGACAAAAGCTTTTTCCTCCAAACTAATATAAAATGAGGAGAAAGGGCTTCCTGTCCAATTAAATCAGATCAAAGGTTCTCATAAATTTTAACACAAATGAAAGAAAAACCTGAAAAGGACAGTGTTTGTTTATTTATTTGGTAAATTTTTTGACATTACCTCAAGCATATTTTTTTTTATCTTTGAAGCAGCTAACTGAAGATGAGCCTCAGAATGCTAGTGAGTCAATCCAAAGCTCTTCCATCCGCTGCAGAAATTATGCATAATGCTAAGTTGTTAATAGTCTACAGCATGTAATTACAACATGGTGTAAATATGTGCATGTTTTAAAGTTAATCTATATGATGTGTATGTGTGTGTTTGTGTTCAGTGTCATTTTTGATAATAAAATGGAGCAAAAACAAAGATATGCAATTATCTACAGAGTATGTATTTTTTCTCAATGGGCCTGAGTGTATGCTTAGATAATCTGTGTTTAACGTTAACAGTGTGTTTGTTTGATGTGTTCATTGTTCAATAGTCAAATTCTTCAAAAATACAGCATGAATGTGTGTTTTATTTAAATTGTTTCATAGGTGTTACAATATAATCTAACTGAAAATCAGTTAATGTTAATTTAGGATAGCACTGTGTGTTTGTTACTAAGCAGCAGACTGTAAATATGTACACCCCCTTTGTCTTAATGCCCCCTAAGTGATTTCTATGTCCATTCCTGCCAATGAGAGTCAGATACAGAAATATAGTAAAGTGTTTTAGATCCTCATCCTACATTTTTGTATGTAAATGTTACATACGCTTATTGACTTCTTATCATCTTCTGTTTCTGATTATCACACAATATTGTTGTTGTCTTGTTCGGCATGGGTCTTTTCATCTTCAATGTTGTTATTTTTCACAGAGAAAAAGAGATGGCATTGCTACAGCTCTGCATGCTCTGATTTGTGTCTTTGTTTCCAACCTTCTTCTGTCTGTTATTTCAACACCCACTAAAACCCTACTCTTTCTGGCATATTGTACAAAAACATTAGGCAATGTCATCTCATCTGAGGAGCTCAGAGAGATATTAAAAATAATTTTGCAAAGTGAATTTAATTAATCTTTGTGCATAGCATCTCTTAAAAATCCATATATTTTATGTTTCAGTTTACTGAAAGTTATTTCGGAACTGTTGCACGTAGAATTGTTTTTGCAATAGAGACAACAAAATCTCACGTCTTCCTGGGTCTATGAAGTACAGAGCAGACCTGAACTGTGAAAAATCAACTCCCACAACAAAATACTTCCAACGTCCTCTTCAGATTCAACTATCTTTTTGGAAATTATATCACAAACAGAATACCATCGTGTTCTCTTATAAGAAGAGAAAAGATGAACACTTGTCTCTTTTCACTATTGTTTTGTTGAGTTTTAGATTTGTGATGTTCAATTTTTTTTTCTCTTAAGTGGAAAGACATTTTTTTTCAGGAAATAAAAAAAAGACTAAAGAACACGAAAACGTAAATCAATTCTAGTAGGTTTGAAGCACCCAAGGGAGGGATATATACCTGTGTGTTGTCAAACTGTTCTCATAGAAATAAAACCATCTTGAGCTTCATTGTCTTATTTGGTGTGGAGCGTGCTTTTCCTCTTGTGGTCAATAGGTGACAGTGTTGAATAGCTCATGCTCTTAAGATCACAGTGGGAGAGAAGAGTTGAATGACAAACCAATAAATATCTCCCACATTTGGACTGTTATAAACAGTGATCAATGGAAAAGCTGACAAAAGCATATGGTGCATCTGTAGAATACTGTTTAATAAGACTATTTGACTTGTATTTTATTATAAATGTTAACAAAGTACTTTGGGATAAATGGGATAAATCTCAAACACAGATTTTTGTTCACCTTCAGATATGGCTATTTTATTTCTTTCTTTTTTTTTTATTTACTTATTGCTTAACTAGACAGCATAAATCAATTTCATTCAATTAAGTTTATTTTTATAGTGCCAATTCACAACATGTCAATTCAGGGCAATTTACAGAGAAGTACATGCAGGATGGTTAAAAATTTAGAGGGGGTAAGTTTTTGTGTATGTAATATTCAATGATGTAAGGTGAGACTGAATGCACTAACCCTTCTCAAACGGAAAAGTATTAGTGTCATATCCCTAAACCCTCCACTTACCTTATTTTAGTTTCTGTTGGGTTCCACAAAATTTTATGTAAACAGAACTACTGGAAATATACTACTGATTCTACATGCCGTATGGTTTTTCATCAGGGCCGTGCAGAGACCACTAAAGGGGCAGGTGCTCAAAAAAAAAAGGGCACATCTTATCGCATTTTAGGACAGAATATTAACAAAGTCACATAGCTTTCAGAGTTTAATGAACAATGATAAATTACAAAATTGTGAGACATACAATCAAAGCTAAGGGAAATCTCTACATAGAACATAGAACTATGCATATGTAAAATATTTTATTAGTAATTTCTTTCTGCAGGTCTATTTTGTTATAGGAAAGTATTACAATATTCAAATCTGCAATTTAGCCAAAGATGTAAATCAGAGCTGGACCACCAGACATATTTTGTCTTTACAGAATTAAACTGTTAAAAATGCATACAAGGGCACAATGCAACCTTTTAGTGTACTGTAATCTATAAAAAAGAATGTCTGCCTGGTTTGCTGTACTGATAGTGGAGATGGAGACAGTCCATTCAGAAAAGCAGAGCTGCTGCATCAAACTTTAACTAGAACTGCAGAAAAAAAAGAACAAAACAAACATTTTATTAATGCATGTCACCATGAGAAAAGCCTACTCTGTTTGTGTCTTAGTGTATTTTGTAAGTACCTATATACATTTTCTTCAATCTTTGCTCTTCGTTTTTTCTTGTCAGTTGCTCTTTTCTTTTTTTCCTCATTGTCTCATCTTTTCTGTGTTGAGTGAAGGTCAATGTCTTATTTATTTCAGTCTCTTGCCTTTCTTTTCCCCCCAAACTAAATCCAAGATTATGATCCAAATACTTATTTTCCGTCATGGTGATTTAACTGTTTAAAAACAAATTCCCATCTTTTAAGCATTTTTGCTATTTTTGTTCTCTTTTGTTCACAGCAGCAGTTTTCTGTTAGCCATGTCTTTAAAAATGTTAATAACCTCACTGTGAATGATTGGCACATCCTTCTCGATTGCCAACAAAAAGGTCTGACAACCGATCCTCCTTGCATAAGCTGCGCAGTTTTGTTTTCACCAGCTTCATACATTATATCTATCATATATCTATCATGGTAGTTTTGGATGAGTTCTCCTTTAAGATACATTTACCTAACGCTAGAATAAATGAAATGTACATCATGCAGCAAAGGAAATTAGAAAATCAGACATATATCCATTATGGAGATGATAGGTTTTTGACGGGCGATGTGCCCCTATTGCATAAGTAATACTGAAGAATGTCCTACTATCATTAACGACACAGGGAAGCTTTTTAGTTATCTTGCTTTGCTAGCAAAGTCATTAGCTAGCAGCTAGCTCATAGCACAAGAACAACAGCCTAATGTCTGTATGATACAAATACTGAATCGATAGATAAGAACAGCTTTTCCTCACCTGGCTGTCTCCTCCCGCTCAGTAGTTCTTCAGAGAAAGAACTACTTTCCTCCGTTTAAACCGCTACTCTTTGCTAAAGTAGAGAAATTATACAACGTTCAAAGTTTTCCGTTGTCTGACAAGTAGGAAGCCTACTCCAGTATTTTCACCAAAAATTATGTTTTTTAATTCACAAAAAAACTGTTCTGTAATCATTACAGAACAGTTTTTTTTGTGAATTAAAAAACATAATTTTCAATGTAAAAGACTAAAAGCACAGAGTAAACAGTGTTTTAGATCAAACAATACTGCATCATCCATGGGGCTCATTTGGTTTCACTTACATGTCTATTCAGGTTGACATTGGAGAGGCGGTGCAGACTGAAGACATAGCCATCCGTCCGATCATGGTTGATCTTGCTTAGGGCCAAATGAGCAGCGGCCACAGTGTAATGTGGAATATCCGCTACCTTTAGCTCCGCAGTTAGCCGCCTTATCTGACTGTGCGAGAGGCAAGTGCGTCGTCACCGGCAAAAGGTCAAAGGTAACAATGTGATCGGAGGGCTTATTGTATTGTTTATCTTTCCAAAAAAGAAAAGATAATAATAATAATTTAAGTACATGTGTCAAATAAATAATAAATTATAATAAAAAAAAAAAAAAAAAAAAAAAAAAAAAAAGGGACCAAAAGGGCACATTGGGATCATGGAGCAAAAGGGGCAGGTGCTCAAGCCCCCTTAGCCCCCCCCTCTGCACGTGCCTGTTTTTCATTAATTACCATTTGAAGTACTTTAGTGGCAAATAATAAATATTAGAAAATTTGGAAGAGTATACTTTCCCCAAGACATTTTCCTATTAATTTATCAGAGCTTTAGACTTTCTTATTATCTTTAATATGTGGTATGTATTGTTTTATTCCCCATCAGCGAGTTTAAGCCCTCATGGTTGATATATTTTTCAAAGTTACGAAAATTTGCACTACTATGTTTTTATGTTCTAAATAATAGACTGCATGTTATTTATCAAATATTATTTAGAATAGACCGCATTATTCTAAATAATATGTTAAAGCATAAACATGTGTTTCACAACACCGGAGAAAACTGTAAAATCAGAACATCAGCCTTATAAAGAACTTTATTGTTTTTTACACAACCAATATAACAACAATGCAAAATGTCATGAGAGTCTCAGCAGATCCACAGTCTTTAAAGTCGTCAAGGCAGAGGTCGACTTCCACCCTTTAATGGAAATAAAAATAGCTTCCCCCTTGCTTGCCCCCGCCTGCTTCCTGTTTTACTTGGAGAGTTTAGTGATGACACGGATTAAAGCCCCATTCTCATCCTTCAACCTCTGGTTCTCCTGCTTCAGCTCAGCTTTCACCTAGGAAAAAAGCACAGAAAAGCCTAAACAAACATTTCCAGGGTCTACCGTGCCTCTTGACTGCTGGAAATTTCCCCCATACTGTGCAGGGTTAAGTGGGTTTAGACACTAAATAGATAAATATTTGTAGTTAATATGATAAGGGTTGTGTAACTAAAACATTTTTAATTACTTTTTCCTCCAGTCTAATAAATCACTACCTGTTGGTGGCTTTAACCATGATCACAATGATGACTAAAAAAGTTGATTATGCTTTTTAATTCCCTCATCCATATTAGGAGAGGAGGGTAGGGGTGTTCACAATCTGCATCAAAATTAGAATCGACAAACACAACTAAAATGGTTATATATATATTTATATGAATTTGTTGATAAAATTATCATTCATCAAACAGCAGGTAGAGTTAGCATTTCCCTAAGATGCAGCCTTGATGTGATGATTAAGAACCACAAACATATTTTTCATATATTAGGTCTTGTTTTGCTTCTGTTAGGTCAGAATTGGCCTGATAAAATAAAAATCACACTGATTGTATATGAGGGATACAATACAATAACACATTTACACAGAGAAACAAACAAACACTTTTGTCCACATTCACAGCGTGTCTCTAAAGTGAGGGTTTATTATCAGCATAGAATCCCATACTGTAACTCTTTGTACATTTCATTGACAGAGAACAAAAACCTTTGTTAGTATCTTCTAGGGCAGCATAGAGCAGTCCACTGTGATTCTACAGAGAACAAATATTGCTCACTAAGGCTGTGGTCTCAATGTACTTACAGCTTCCAAAGCCTACACACAGCAGAATGGTGACAAGTGATACCAGCTGAAGCCAACAACAACAAAACATTTGGTTTGTGTGTGTGTGCATTTTTTAAGCCTCTTAGAGTAACAGTATTTAATAATTCATTTTCTTATAAAACAAATAAAAACTACCTTTAACTGTTCTTCCATATCGGATATCCTCTTTTTAAGGCTCCAACTTTCCTGTGAAGATCATTTATTAAATGTGAATTATATTGCTTCATAAAAATACACAAAAAAGACAGATGAGCGTGTACCTTTTTCTCTGCTTCTAGCATGTGGGAGCTACAATCATCTTCTGACCCCTTCTGTGCAAATTGGAGATTGTTTTTATTAAAATGTTTTTTATCATCATATGGGCTATAATAAATTGAATTTCATACCTGTGCTTGATGCAGCTGGTCTTTAACTGTGGCCAAGTCTTGTTTACTGGTCTCCAGTCGGGATTTGAGCCTTTCATTTGTTGCCAGTGCCTTTTCATACATCTGTAAAATTTACATGTTTTCATCACCACAGAGACATATTCAAAAGCCAAGAAATTTACACAAATAAAAACCTATAACAACTGAGTTAAATGTGTACTTATAGTTTAAGAGGCAATTTGTGTGTGTGGTATCTGTAAGTTATTTAAATAATAATAATTAGAAAGAAGCACCATTTTCAATAGGGATGAAAGGGATTTTGGGATTTAAATAACTAGTCAAAACAGACATTAATTTGGTACCCATATAAATACCTTATGGCTTTATTATACCATTTTGTTGTATTCACTGATTAACTAGATTAAAAGAGACCATTCTGTTTGAAACAAAATACTTATGAAAGAATTTCATGCAAAATTACTTATTAGCATAGCATAACTTCATCTATAGTTTTCAATTTTCTTATTGAAGGCCGAACTGTAGAGGAAGAATATTTGTGGATAAAACGGGGTGCCATGCATCTTTCTTCTTTCTTCTTTTTCAACAGGGTCACGGTGGGGGGCCAGTGCCTAGCTCGGGCGAAAGGCGGGATACAACCTATACAGGTCCCCAGTCTGTTGCAGGGCAACAGAGAGGCTGTGTCCGAATGTTCGCCTTCATCACTGTATAGGGCACTATGTAGTGGTTACGCCATTTTAGATCAGTGTCCGAACGGGTAAAGGGAAAACAGGAAAAATAGCGATATTCACTAGAAGATGTTCACTAGACAAGGAGATATATCCTGGATTGCTTTGCGAGGAGAGCTCTCCTTGCTAATAATTATGGGATTTGTTGTCACAGCAGCGACAAATGGCGCAGGCAATGTGCGGGTAAGCGGAGTCACGTGACCATTGGGGAGTGAAAAGTAGTGATCATCTGTAAGAAAGGTCAGTTAACTGAGTTCACTATATAGTCCTCTCTCTATAGGGACTGAGTGATTGTGGGGTTAGGGCGGACGTTTGGACACAGCCAGAGACATACAGTACAAAGACTTACAACCATGTAAAGACACATTTTCACCTGGGGACAATTTAGACATACCATTTAACCTAACAGTCATTTTTTTGGACTGTGGGAGGAAGCCTGAGTACCTACAAAGAACTGACGTATCCACGGGAAGAACATGCAAAATTAATGCAGTCTTATATGAGATACAGTGATATGGAAATAGCAAAGTAAAGTTTCAAACATTGTTTCAAATATTTGTATGTAATTTTTAAAGCTTTTTCTTGTGCATTATGAGTCTGAAGTTAACAGTGATGTGAGGGTATCTATGATAGCCGAGTTGCTTTTATCAGGGTACCATATCATGTAGTTAAACAGTATATATTATATCAGATATGTTACTGATAGATGAAATAAAACCAGAGAACTGACATATCTATCTATCTATCTATCTATCTATCTATCTATCTATCTATCTATCTATCTATCTATCTATCTATCTATCTATCTATCTATCTATCTATCTATCTATCTATCTATCTATCTATCTATCTATCTATCTATCTATCTATACTTTCTTTTTACAACGACTAGAATAACATCAGCACTAAAACATCAGACTAACAGTCAAACTGCATGATTTACCTTTTTATAGTCACTATTCATCTCTTCTTCTGCCTTTTTCCTTGCCGACAGCCTGTTCTCCCTTCGTAAAAAATAAGACTCTGCATGGTTTGTTGATGTGTCGTTTGGGACATCAGATGAGCTGGATGAGCTCAGTCTAAATAAATAAGAGATTATTATTATCAGTTTCTCTCAAACCTTAGCAACAAATCTTGCACTATGAGGATAATACTTGTGTTTTAGTTGTCCAAATCATTGGTAAACTTACCTAGACAGCCTTTCATGCTGAAATAAAATATATATATATGTTTTAGAACATGTCTGGAACAAAATCGAACATAAAAGACTGAGTTGTTTTTCTTTCTTATTTTGTTTTGTCTCAAACTAAACTGTTATTCTCATGCATATCAGCTTTGTTAAATGTCAACATAGCTCTTATGACCAAATGGCATCTTTTAAATATCATACAGTTAATATGCACACATTTTCAGAAACAGAATCAGAAATACTTTAATGAACCGAGGGGGAAATTATCTTCGTTACACGCTCCAGGTATACAAAGAACATATTACAAACATTCATCATCCAAAGAAATAAGTAGTAATGCCATTTTGTCCTACTGTACATTTGAAATGTTTTTATGTAGGCTGTTTAAAACTTTATGGCAGCCAGACACACCAGACCAAAGTAAGCTAAAGGAGGAGAGAGGAAACGATCCCTTAAATAAACTGACAAGCAGAGATAGCTAAACATATCCAAAAAAGGTAATAACTCCAGCAGTGACTCTGACATTTTGCTCACTATATCCTGCTTAGTAAGGAAAGGTTATGTGAGCTATGTCCTTAGGGAATTTCAGCCAAAAGTATCTGTTAAAGAAATGATATTGTCCAAATACATAGAAAAGAAAATGTAATTGTCAGGGTTTTTTTATATAAACATATAAAGAGAAATCAAGGAAACAGAGGTCCATTGTTTAAGATTAAATGTCAGCTAGAGTCATAATGTTGCAAACACATGGATGAAAAAAAAATGCAATATCTGTAGAGCACACAATATCTGATAAATAAATCCCAGGGGGTGCAAAACAAAAATATTAATAAACTGAAAAAAAAGAAATCATTACAAAAGCATCAAGCTAGCCATATCATCTTCATCCTCTGAGAAGGTAAATATCGGAAGAACTTTTCTTTTGTTAAAACATCCTTTTTCCTAATATGGTGTCAAATTTGTGGGGCTTTCCTATGAATTTTTTCATGAGTCATTACAAAATGTACAAGCCCGACTCTGAACTCAGGCTTTGTAAATCTTATTTTAAGTTTTTTCAAGCGTGTTTATATTTCCTGTTTCTCTGTGTTTCCCTGTGATAAAGGGGTTCTGTCAAAGACCTGTCCATCTGTTTCCCCCATTTCATTAAACAATACATATTCACAAGCAACATATGCAAATTGCAGATTTTAGTCCTCTGTTTCGTTTGTGTTTTTTTGCACCATGCTTTTTCTCACAAACTTGCTTACATTAGATCACTGCTGCACTTTAAGAAATGGAAATGTCATGAGAGCTGTACAAAACGAAATTTTGCTTTGTGTACACTCTGTATACACAACAACAATAAAAGTTTAAGTCTAAGCCTCAGTTCACATGTTGCTACAAGTTTCAAACACAAAGAAAATCATTCCGCAGGAGCAAATTTAAAACATTTTTTTTTCTTTTTTTGAATAAATTTTTCAAATTACATCGATACAAGAGAGAGACAGCTTATTTATATACGTAAAAGTACATTCCTAAAAAATTAAACTTGGTGACATTAGAATTCAGCTAAAGATAAAGCCACCCATATAAATGACTTAAAAAGATGAATGTTATTTAATGTAAAAACAATCCTCTTCAAATTTACTTTAGCAAACATAACTGATTTCTGCTATGTTAAGCTTGTTACAGATTTTACTTTACCGGTAAGTTACATTAAAGCTTTACGTTTCCATTTGTATAAATGTAAATGCACCTAAATAAATACTACTCCATAGCAATTACCTATGGCTTTAATTGCAGATTTGGGCCTTCCAGTTGTAAAGAACATTTTAAAAACTAATCTCAAAACTAAAAAAGGGATTCATGCTAAAAGAGACTGGTGTCAAACAGAATAAATTAAGAAATACAGACAAACCTCAGGCTGCAGACACTTCAAATAAACACTGCAGTACCTTTTGTCAGATAATTAAAGAACCTCTGGATCTTCACCAGACTCTGAAATCAACCCCTTGAAGGGTGTCTGAGGAAATGTTACTATGATTGGTAAAAAACTATTTATAGCCAAAACCGTCTTGGCTGAAACTCTTTGACATCATTTAACAGATACTGATCAACCTGTCCAGTAACTATCCCATCATCCCTGCTTAAAAGTGTTTCCCTGTCTGAATGTTTCTCCAGACCCCTCACCCCCTTGAGAGACTTTTTCCAGCTGACCAGTGGAAAATATTAGCTTCCCTTAGGATTAGCTGAGACATAAACATCTATAAATACTTTGAGTTCCCAGCATCAAAGTCCTCTAAAGTATTTGTTCAGCCCTTCTTCTTTTTCTCATTGTGTCTTCTAACACTTTTGTTATTTTCTTCTCTTTCATTTTCATAACAACAGCATATTATCTGCTTCCTTAAGTCTTTAATGGCATATGAGTTTTACAAAAACAGAAAAGGCTGAATGTTTTCAGCATCTACTAAGTCTGTCATGAAATTCTAATCGATATCATGATAAAAATACGTATTTACTTCACACGTTTCTCAATTTGGTCTTTAAAGTTTCAGAAATTCTATAGATTACTATATAGATTATTTTGGAGAAGAGATAAAACACTCTTTTTTCACAAAAAGAATAACCACTTTAGAAAACATCATCAACTTTTGGGGGTAATTTTTCTACCGGAATTACTGACATGCAAAGAAAGACAAGCAACAAGTTTTAGATGGATTTTCTCATTATTAAAAGGTTTTAAATCATGTTTAACATAAAAGTAAAGGCTGTCTCTGTTCAGTAGAATCGTACATCTAATCCTAAAAAAAAATATCTAAATCTGCAACATATTTTTTGTGGAAGGTTCCACATATTATACAATTAACTTAAATGACAATGAAGCTTAAGGAGCCATTGAACACAGATTTTAGAGCTACTGTCTTAAAGTATCCTATTTGATGTACAAAGCAGTTATACAGCAAAGTTATACAGTACTTTTTTGTTTGTAAAAAGTTACATCTCAAAAGCAAGTTTCAAAACCATTGATATATATATTTAAAATATATATATATATATTGATATACATATTTATATATTTATAAATGTATATATATACATGTATATATATATATTTTTTTATAATTACAAATACAGTTTTGCTAAACAATTTCTATAAACAGTCATGCATGAAAATCTCTGTGTTTGCATAAAATCCATTGAGACATTTACTCTAAATAGAAGAGAATAAAAGGCAATCCGGCTTTACCCTCAGGCTCCTGGTGTTGGTAGCAGATGAAGCTGGACAAGAGTCAGACAGAGACTTTCTGATAAGTGGCTCATCTTTGTTTTGAGAAAGCAGAGATGACATTTCTCCTGCACTGCTGGGAGCACTGCATACAGCTCTTCTGTGACACAAAACACCGAATAAAGAAAAATAAATCACAAGTCATAAAAAGTAAAAAAAAAAGAAAAGCCTGACGTGAGCAGAAATTCACATGAGATTGTTTCAGTTTGATGAATGCCAGCTTGATTTTCACAGGATGGAAACACATATCAGAGTGAAAGAAGGCAAGTTTGAGAATGTGGGGGAGCTGGAGGAGTAGGCGGGCTGCAGACTGCAGTTGTGTATGTTTATATTGTAAGGGTTTACACATGGATTTCAAAGAAACTATTTGCAGATACTTTGTGCACTAAGTGATATCAATATGTATTAATATATATATATAAATAAAGTTTGATATTGTACTTTATTTATATTAATGCTCTTCTTACCAGTCACTTTAGATGGACCACCATGTCTCCTTCTATTTTCAGAGGATGAGTGTCATGATCTTGGCGCTGATGTCTGGCTTAATTTTTCATTTCATTCACCTGTGCAACTCTGCCCGGTTTCTGATCATCTGATCCACCTTCTCCTGCCTCTATTTAAGGTGCTTGCATCCAGTTATCCGGGCCCGATTATCTTGTTCTCTCTAGCTAGTTGTGAGAGACTCATGACAATGAGTTGAATAGTTCTCCCTCAGATGTTAGGATGTTATATAACTTAACCCTGTTTTAAAGATCTCAACAGCATTTTCCCTGACCTCTCTTATTTGTTCTTTGGTCTTAATCATGCTGTTTATACACTAATTCTCTCTGACTAACAGAACACCTGGATTTTATTAAATTACACAGGCTTTACCTGCTAATTAGGTGAATTTAGAGAGCACACGGCTGCACAGCATTTAGAGGTATATGAGTCAAAAGTTGTTGGTTTCCGGATATTTTTCTGTAAATCATGGTTCATTTTATTTCTACTTCACCAGCGTGGTTACTGTAACATTATCACCACCTCTCTGTGTTTCACCTAAAAAGATCAACATGTGATAGATTTAACTTGGGGTTTGCAAAGTAAAAAGAAAGTTAAAAAGTTTCAATAGTTTTCTAAAACCACTCAAAATGTACAGAAATAAGGATAGACTTGGTATCCTTGCTGAATTTAGCTTTTATCCATGGTTTAAGTAAATAAAATTATATAAAAAGGGACAGTATTGTATTTATTGGAATGCACCAAAATAATTAGAATAAAAAAAGAACTAAATAATACAGTTTCCCCCTCTTTGGGGTAATAAAGTGTCTTGTCTTTGTACAGGGTACTCCCTTTTAAAAACAGCAAACAGTACCTCCTGCTGGTTTAAAAACGTAGCCACAAAAACAACAAAAAAGGTACAAAAAGGAAAACTGAGGGTTCCAAAGAGTTTTGTAGAAAAACTGTTAACACAAAAATACTTATTCAAAGATCAAATCAGTGCTTTTGCATTATGAGATAGCAAGTACATACAGTATTACATCTGAGCACATTTTTTTGTGCAATCTAATGATATAAAGTAATTTTAAGGCCCACTCTATGTCATGTCTTCATTTGCCTTTAATTTATGAAAGTAAGTATAGCATAGTTTTAGAGGTAATACATACTATATTCATTTAACCTCTTAACATCTTCACCCTTTATTTACTCAAAAAGTTTGTTTTGATTATATTTAATAAGCGTCCTGTTTCTGCTGGTGTTTTTATAGTGACCTTGTTGGCAAAATGAGTTAAAAATTATATTTATAACAAGTTAGTGATCATTGATTAGGGAAACAGTAAGTAGCCCTTTTTATGTCTTGATCTTCAGAAAAGGATTTATAGAAATGTTAAATAGGCATACTTCAGATCTACCTCAGTGATCTGTCATCTCATAAATGTATTATTTTTTTCTTATATTATTAGTGTGCTTAGGTCTTGAATATAATACAGATTATATAATTGAACATCTAAAAAGGAAAGGACATGTAATGTATGCAATACTAGTTACATTAATATGTGATATATAGAAAAAAGAACGTGTAACATTGCTTAGTACATTTTTATCATCATTCTAAGATGTTCATAAATAAAAAGATTCCCATATTTCCAATAAAGAATTGTCAGTTTATTTGTAGGGAAAATACCAGTCGACTACATTATTGAGAACTTTGTAGTTTAAAATTCAGGCACGTTTTCATAGTTGGTTTAAGGAATCCCACAGTTTAGGTTGATAGTTGATGTCATTGATGTCAACTTCATTCTGAAAAAGAGAAAAAAGAAAATCACATTTGTATCTTCAAATTTTCAGAGCTGTATCAAAAAAACTTCATCTAATAAAATCTTTTATCACAAAGTAAATAAATTTTTCAGAATATGTATTTTACCTCTAACATTAAGTGCCATGGAGGACTCTGCATTTCCCAGTTTGTTCTCAATGACTACTTTGTATTCCCCATTGTCTTTGGGTCCCACTCGCAGTATGAGCAAGGAACAAACTCCACAAACATTTGTAATGTGGTAGTTGGTGTTTGTGTTGAGGCTGATGTTGTTGTGGTACCATGTCACATGTGGAGTTGGATCACCCCTAACTGCACAGGTCATATAGCATTCATAGCCTTCAGGAGCTGTACGTCTCTTTAGGGGAATAATAAATGATGGAGGTGACTCAAAATCCAGGGCCTTCATCTGAGGCATGTCAACTTTGAATTTTCCTGGAACATAAATTCATGAAGGTTATCATCATACAGGGACATGATTTCCAGATACATTGCTGATTGGGAACCAAATATATTTCTAGTAGCTGCTTTATTAATACGACATAGAATGCCATGGATATAGAATGCCATGGAATGCCAGTTTATTAAGTACTGTGTTTAAGGCACTGTGCTCAGCCTATATTTATACTCAACAAATCCTTAGTTTATATGTGTTTTGCATAAGCTCTTTATTTCACCATCATTGCTTTTTTTCTCGGTCCCTTTTTTATTTATTAGTTAACGTGTAAGTATGAAATTTGAATTACTATTGTAATTTGCATTCAAATTGGAATAAACCCTCTCTACATGTAACATGATTCTTTCTGGCTTTGATGGAAAAAAGAAAATCACACTAAATAAACATTCCAAATTTCTAATGTGTGCATTTACATTGCTACCAAACGTGATTGGAGTAATCAACATGTCCTGCCTTTGTCACTGACACTTTTTACCAAGTCCTGAAAGGACCAGTTACAGTTGAAGTTTAAAGGTGACAACAAAAGTTAGAAGCTAACTTTGAAAAGATACTTTTCAGTATTTGAACTGCCATGTGTATGTATTTGTTTTCTTAAACAAATGGATGTATGCTGGGTATTTCCATAAAAGGAAGAAATGAAATTTGACTCAGACCTTTTTCCTTTTTTAAAGCAAACACAGGGGATTCAGACGGTGGTGACAGGCCCATGTCGTTTTTTGCAAATACTCTAAAGTAGTACTCGCGACCAGGCATAATGTTGACAACTGTGAACTTGTTGTTAAAAAGGTTGTCAGCTACTGTCCTCCAAGTACGTTTGAAGGAGTCCCTCTTGGATACCATATAGTGTAGTCTGTCGTCTCTTTTTTCATCTGGAGAGGGAGTCCAGCAAAGAGTCACTGTTCCTGGAGTGTTCTCATAGAGCTCTACTGGACCTGGAGGCCTAGGATCATCTAAATAAAGATTAGGGTGAAAAAAAAAAACATACATGCAGGTGAAAGGTTTAAAAGGAATGTATTGAAACTGAATAGGCCACCATTTAAGAGAAAATGGGCAATTGATAGTTTTGAACATCAAGGTCCTGCAAACAAACTGTGAAGGCCAGGTTGCTAACAAAGTTTTAGTTCTACATATTATTAATCTAGGACTGGCCCCTTAAATCTGTTCAGGAAAAGAAAGGACACTCAACAAAACCTTTGAAGTAATTTGAGAAAAATGACACCTAGTGCCTGCCTACCAAAATTGGTTTTATTTAGTCACAGCAACAAGTTAAATAACAGCAGACCAATGAGAAACCACATGTGTGCTTTTACAGTATGCTCTTCCTGTTTCTCTTCACTGTAAAAGATTAATAAAGCCCTTTTCCCACTGCAGATACTGGGTTAGCAGGTGGTTTTAAAACAATGGTCAACCTGCTAACAATTGGCATTTTGCATTTAGGAAAATGGCTGCATGTCTGGTGACAGCATCACACTGGGTTAGCGTTGCTGATGTCACCATTGCCCCAGAATTCATAAAAGTACACAATTGAGAGAAACATGTAGGGAAGCCAGTGTGTAGTCAGTTTGCTTTATTGTTTTGCTCTGTTATCTGTCTGAATCTCTCTCAATAGTGCTGCGCCATGTTTATTGAATGTAAACAGATTTATTTTGTCTTATTAGATCAGAATTGGCTGACTGTTAATGTCTGTACGTTGCAGTCAATGGTATCACATAAATGAATGTGTCAACCCGGTTCTGGTGTTCCCACAGCATGCCGATCAGAGGTAAGGCGTTTTTAACGCAGGTCGGTTTGACCCTGGTAGACCAAAGTTAGTTAGCTGTTCTCACTGCTACTAAAAATAGATTGTTCCCTTGTTTAACCGTGTTTTTCAGCTAGTGTGAAAGGGATGATAGTGTATTTTGAGAAAACATGTTAGAGCAGCGGCAGTGAGTACGTCCTTCACTGCCGTGTTCATTTTGGTTCGGCTCTAGGCTTGGCAGCTGTTGTTTTAGTCAGAGCTACAGTAATTCTCCCACCTGTAACCGTATTACTGCAATGTGATGAGCTGACTTGCTTTGATTGCTAACTTTGCTGACTTGAAAGATTTAAGCTGTGGGTTCTTGTGTTTGTGAACAAATAAAGTGGAATGCAGCTTGCAGGCAAAGGTGGCTTGCTGTTTTTGTAGCACTTTTAGACAGTCTATCTCTGTGAACTACACTATAAATGTACCTTTAGTGTAATTATTATAATCATTACCTCCAGGTACATGTCTCAAAACATTATTTTTCTTTTACAGCCACTCTCAATCTGACAATACACAATCTGCTTATTGGGCAGAATAAACCAGTTTACTGTGCACTTCTTAAAATTTGCACACCAATCTCTGTAAATCATCTGCAACACACATATTTACTGCATGTGCAAAAAACAGAATAAAGAAATGCTTTTACCATTTAGCACGCCTTATTTGGAATATTTGAAGACCAGGCTCCTAAAAGTTACACATACCCCAATAAACAACTTTTTGAGTTAAAAAGTGACATTACATAATCAAATATATTAGACATGGCTACCACTAGAATCACCACAAAAGGAGTTCTAAAGAAGAGCATATTTACAGCCAATGGATTTTCCTCCTAATTGCAAAATGCATTGTTGGGGTTAATTGTTCTTTTAACTAATAAATTTTTGGGGGGTCTATACTTAAAGATAAGATTTATTTTACCATTTTATCTTTTGGTTGTGATAAAAAAAAAAGTAGTTGCTGTTGTGGAAGATCCCTCGCTGCAAAGGATTTCAAATTGATTTGACAAGAAGATCTCTTCTCGTCTCATGTTTTGTAGGTAGTTTTCACAATTAATTTGCTGCTGCTTCACAATAATATATGCAGATGTAACATATGCTTAATTCAAAGGCTTGATATGTTACCTAAGTTTTTTTAGTTACCTAAGTTTGTTTGATATTTACAGTTAAGATACCACTTTAGAGTTATGT